GCACAGTACTGCGCTTATTGCACGATCGGAGACGGCGAGGTACACGTCTAGCTCTTCTCCTGGCTCGGGCTTTGAGAGCACAATTGGTGACATGAGATACTCCTTCAGCTCGTCAAAAGCCGCTCGGCAATCTTCGTCCCAGACGAATCCATTAACTTTCCGCAATACCTTGAAGAAAGGTAAAGCGCGCTCGGCTAGCTTGGAGAGGAACCGGCTGAGGGCTGCCAACCGACCGGTCAATTGCTGGACTTCCCGAACGGTGGAAGGTGGCTGCATGTCCAGAATCGCTTTTACTTTGGCCGGGTTGGGCTCGATTCCTCTCTTGGTCATCATATAGCCGAGGAACTTGCCGGTCTGAACCGCGAATGTGCACTTGGTCGGGTTCAGCCGCAACTGGTACTTCCTCATGATCTGGAAGCACTCCCGGAGGTCCCGAGTGTGGTCGGATCGGTCCCGACTCTTGACCAGCATGTCGTCGATGTAAGCTTCCATCGTTCGGCCCAGTAGATCGGCAAAGAGCATGTTGACCATCCTTTGGTAGGTTGCTCCTGCATTTCGGAGGCCGAACGGCATCACTCGGTAACAATACAGCCCATCCGGTGTTACGAAGGCTGTCTTGCTTTCGTCTTCATGGTGCATCATAATTTGATGATATCCCTTAAAAGCATCCATGAAGCTCATTAGCTCGGCCCCGGCCGTCTCGTCGACCATCTGGTGAATGCTCGGAAGAGGATACGGGTCAAGCGGACAGGCCTTGTTGAGGTCCGTGAAATCGATGCACATCCTCCATGCTGGGGGCTTAGGAACAAGAACGATATTTGCCACCCACTCGGGATAAACCACCGGACGGATGTGCTCGATCGCCGCCATCTTTTTGACTTCTTCTCTTACAAACTCGCGGCGATCGGAGGAAAGGTGTCGTGTTTTTTGCACGACCGGCTTAGCTGTGGGATCGACGACCAATTTGTGACAGATGACCGACCGATCGATCCCGGGCATGTCTTCGGGCCCCCACGCAAAGATATCAGCATACTCCCGGAATATGGCCAAAACTTCCGCTCGAAGCTCGGGGGTGAGGGCTCGGCCAATCTTGACCTTCCTATCCGGGCGATCCTCGGATAGGGGAACTTCTTCTATTTCTTCGAAAGGCTCAGGCTGCTCCTTCCGTTCCTTAGCCTCCTCTTTGGCTATGGTATTCACCCGGGAAGATGGACCGGAATCACGTCTATTGACCGCTCGGGTGTAACACTTCCGGGCGGATTGGACATCGCCCCGGACCACGCCGACCCCGTTAGGGGTGGGGAATTTCATGCACAGGTGGGGCATAGAGATTATCCCACCGATCTTCATGATGGCGGGTCGGCCCAAGATAATGTTGTGGACGCAATGGAGGTTGACCACAACGAATTCGAGCTCCGTTTGGATCGACTTTGGAGGCGTGCCGATCTCGACCGGGAGCGTTATTTTTCCCTCGGGGTAGATAAGAGCCCCGGTAAATCCCGACAGTGGTACACCGACCGGAGTCAGCTCCTTCCTGTCGAGGCCAAGCTTCTCAAACACGTCCAAGTATAGGACGTTCACACTGCTGCCCGTGTCAACCATAACCCTCTGGACGTCTGTCCCCTTAACGTCAATCGTGACCACGAGCGCCTCCATGCCGTGATCACTGCTGGTAGGCTGGTCCTCAAGGGTGAAGGTTATGGGTTCCATCTTCTGCCTCTTCCCGGTTCCCCGGGAATCCACTATTGCGACCGGGCAATTAGTCCGCGGTCGGGAAGCATCCTCCAGTCCACCAAAAATGACGTGGATGGTAGGCTTTCCGGACGGGCGACTACCGGACGGAGGGTCGGGGTCTCGTCGGTCATCATGACGATCATCCCTTCTGTCTTGCCCAGATCGATCAGAGCGGTGATGGGAACGTCTATGATCCCTCCGATCGGTGTTCCTCTTGTTTTCCTCTCTCTTCCCCACACACTTGTCCAATTTTCCCCTGTTAAGCAGATCTTCCAACAATTGGCGCAAGTGGGTACACTCCTCCGTGTCATGCCCAGCACATCGATGGTAAGCACAGTGCTTACTCTTGTCAGGGCCGTCTCGATCGGGATGGGGGAGTTTGATGAGATTGCAGGACTGGGCGTATTGCATGGCCTCCGCTGCAGATCGGTTCAAGGCCGTAAACTCGCCAGGCCTGGTGCGGGATCGGGGATTGTCATCTCCCGACCGATGCTCCGCCCGGCCGGCCGGCTTACGGGACGAAGAGCCGACCTCCTGCAAGCGCTTTACGGCGTTCGCCTCGCCGGCGTTGGCGTAATCTGTGACCCTCCGAAGGGCCTCCTCGTAACTGGTCGGGGGGTGTAGGATGAAGTCCTGATACAAATGTCCCGCCCGGAGAGATATGTGAAGCATGTGGGTGGCGGTCGCATCGTCCATAGGCTCGACCTCCCCGACCGCCGCTTTCCATTTGATGAGGAAATCGGTCAAGCTTTCCCCTTCTAATTGCTTGGCCTTCTCGAGATACATGTAGGACTTCCTCACCACTTTGGAAGTGATGAACTTCCTCACAAATTTGATCGCCAGGGTCTCAAATTTATCGATTGATCCCGGTGGCAGGGTACGGAACCACTCTGCTGCCCGACCGGTGAGGGTCGAGTAAAAGGCTCTGCACATCACGGCGTCCGAGACACCCTTCAGCATCATGTTGCTGAAGAAATCATTCACATGGGCCTCAGGATCTGCCCGTCCGTCATAACTCTTCTCCCCAGAGACCTTTAAGTCAAGCGGGTAAGGCTGGGCCATTACCGTTGCTGTGAAAGGCGTCTGGTGCAGGGTCGATTGGCTGACCGGGGGCGTTCCAGGGTACGCATTCCTGAGCTGCGCAACTTTCGCCTGGAGGTTATAGAGTAATCCTCGGGTTTCGTTGAGCTCGGCGGCTTGAGCGGCTTGGGCTGTATCCCGAGCGCGTCGCCGTCGGTGAGATCTCGACCCGCTATACCCAGATGAAGCCTCGTGGCTAGCTTCCTGCATTTGTACGTCTTCTTGCCCGCGGTTCGGGTCTTGGGGTCCCAAACGCTGGCGCATCTCCGGTCGAAGACGATCAAAAGCTACCGCTCGGGCAACTTCTTCAGGGTCCTCCGCTTGAACGGCCTGAGCTGGTGCCTCCATCGCATCAGCACCCCCCGACCCCAACCGCGAATGAGCCGAGCGTCGAGTCCGGGATACGGACTGACGCTGCGGCTCCACTTGGGCGGTCGGTTGTACTGGAGGGGCGGCGGCTGGAGCTGTATAAGCTGGCGTATACGGTGGATAACCAACCGGGGAAGTGTAGCACATTGGTTGGCCTGGCCAATACCCATACGGTGGAGGTGGGACCGGGTACGGATATTGGGCGGGATACATCATCGGCTGCTGCTGGTATGGCAGACCGGGTGTTGGGTATCCTGGTTGTATGTAATTCACCGGCTGCTGGGCGGCCGGGTATGCATTTGACGGATGCGGTGGTGAGAGGTTGAGGTTGAGGTCCATCGTCTGACCCTGCTGTTGGGTAGCATAGTGGTCGGAGGAGCTCGTCGCATCCGCCTGGTCGTCGGCAAAGTTATTGTGTGCCCACGGATACATGTCGACGTAATGATCGGGTGCTCGTCAAGACGTTGGTTTCTTGCACGGGTCTCCACAGACGGCGCCAAAATGATACTGCTAATTATACGTGAGCAATATATAACAACACGAGACCAATTAAAGCAAGTAAATATCTTTATTGATCACGATAAAGGCCCTAAGTACAATCTACTTGGTTGCTCTGAGTACCGACTGACTGCGGTCGGGATTCTCTAATAACAACCTATCGATCGTCCAAAAGTCCCTTACACTGTAGCTACTGTGGGTATTTATAGCCGCTATGCCGGGGACAGGATTCCAGCCGTTCGGCATGTCCTCCACGTAGCCACCACGTGTCGCCCTCCCGGGTGCCCTGTCTGTCGTCGTAGAGAATCGCCACGTGTCTTTCGTCAGCTCTCTCGCCAAAGGGCTACCGCTCGGCAGTCGACACCGTCGCTCGGGCAACTCCCGGTCGGCCCCCGACCGGGTTCTTCTCAAGGAGCCCGACCTGTTACCTGCAAAGACAAAGAGAAAAGGACAAAGGTTTCTCGGTCGTGGTGAAGCTAAGTCGGTCGGGATATTCCCTACCATGCATGATTGAACATTCTCAATAGATGAAGTTTTTTTTGTGGGTTTTTATGTGCCAAGTAGAAAAGAGAGGAAGAGCAACGGAAAAAAAAAAAAAAAAAAAAAAAAAAAAAAAAAAAAAAACTACAAATCTGTCCGTAAAAAAAAATAAAAATAAAAAAAATAAAAAAAATAAAAAAAAAGGACAAAAAGCAGTTTTTACTTTTTACGCACTGCACGCGCTAGATTGGGTGTATATTTATGCAAAACGCGTGCGGTAGACAATTCTTTTCTCTCACCATTTAGGGCTCACAATTCTGATAAAAACTAAGATCTTTACAGGAAGATCCAAACACTCTCTTTTACACGGGATTATATCTCTTAAAAAATCATTTCAAAATTTCTATTGAGATGCTCTTATTAGAGATGACACTATCAAGATTTACGTAGTTTTTTTTTTTTTTTTTAATGTATTTAAAAAAAAAAATCATTCTTGAGTCGGAGAGTTCAGTGTGATAGAGAATAACTGTTAACGCAACAGTCTATTAGTCTATGGTGAGAGAGGTTTCAAAAAAAAAAAAAGAAAAGTCTATTGTGAGAGGCGGGTGGAGCATTAGGAAGACATGACACGTGCATAAGACTGCGACAGTGACAACGATGTATGGCGTGAATGGACCTCTTTTGTAGTTTTGTCTCCGCCAAAGCCGAACACTGCGTACAATAAAAGCAAAAAATAAAACCCAACAGGAAACGTCCTTCGCATTTTTTCCCAGTATTTTGTCCTATGCAATTTTTAGTTCTTATCCACTCAAAAAAATAATTCTTTTTTTTTGAAAAGAAAAAAAGAAACAGATTAAACTAATTGGCATCAGGAATCAAGAATTAACGTTGAATTCCCATTGTCGTACTAGCATTCAGGTTTTGGGTGGAAGGTAAAATCGGGTCGAAGAGTACACTGTTTTGGATTCACTTTCCCTCGTCACTATCATCGTCAAGAAAACAAAAGCCGCCTCTGTCGGTGTCGTGCTACCCACCCAGCCATCCCTCAAAACTCACACACCTTTCTCCTTTCTTTTCCGAGTTGCAGGTTTTTCACTTTAGATCTCTTTCTTGGTTTTCTGACTCGTAAAGGTACATTCTTTTCTTCCCACTTCACCACACTCTTCCTTTTGTTGTAGTTTACCTGCATATTCATGTGTTTATACTCATATCTCTGCTCATACAGCTAAATATATCTCTAAAGCTGTGTTATTTTCGCATTTGTTACTGTAATTCTGCTGCTTATGGTTCAATCCGGAGTTCTGAAGTATGGGTGGGATTTACTGTTATGGATGGATTTCTATATTTGTTTGTTATTTTTCATGTTTCAGTACATGGTTTTGATGTGTCTCTGTGTGTTTGTTTTATTTACGGTTTTTAATGTATTCAATGATTTGTCAGCGGACAAGAGGCAGGATTGGTTGAGAGTTGTTGGCTTTATTGTTAGAGAGAGAAATTGTAGAAGATGGAAGATTGTGGTGATTTTATACAGTGGCTTGGACCAGACATGTCTATGAAAATCCTGGCTTGTTTGGAGGACCCTTCTGATTTTGTTCGTGTTGGCGCTGTCTCGAGCTCCTGGCGCCAATACGGTGAGCTTAGCCCTCTTAATTGCGTGGTGATTGCGTTTAAGTTCGAGTAGTGTTGTTAACCCTCTTAATTGCTTGGTGATTGCGTTTAATTTGAAGTAATGTTGTTAAGGTTGTCTTTGGAATTTGTGGTTAGCTTGTTATTCTTTCGTTTGTTGGAGGATTCGTGAATGCTTTTTGTGTTGGCTATAGCTTACACGACATTCGAATCTTATGTAGTGATTGAAAATGGGTTTTGTAAACGTCTCTGCTTGGAAATGTTTCCGGAAGTATCGAGTATTGCTGATGCCATCGAAGGAGACAAAAACACGATTGACACCGTGGAAGTTGAGGTTGACGAGTCTGTGAAGTTGGCACGCTTGGAGAGGGATCACCGAGTGTATGCCTTTTTGAGCAGAGGGTTGAGTCCCTTTCTGAAGAAAGATTGCATCTTGGAGGCCATTTGTGCATCGAGCACTGATAACTATCCCGAAGAAAGCATCCGGAATACTTTAGTTCCAAATGATATGGTTGGTCGTAGCGCTTCATACTGGTCGAGCAAAGGAGCAAGTGACCCTGCTGTCCCCGAGACACTGACATATGAACTAGCTGCAAAGTTTTGCGTGATTACTGAGATTCATGTACAGCCGTTTCAAGGTTGCACTGTAACCTCCTCAAGGTTCCTAACCGCTGTATAATTTATTACATTTACTAACTTGAAAATTGTGTCTCAGCCTATTTTCAGTTTGGCTTCCCGATATATTCAGCGAAGGCAGTGCGGTTCAGATTGGGGCATCCTAAGCAACCTATGGAATTAGAACGTAATCGCACAGATGAGTTTGGAGGCGTTAAAGAACCGTTTAGTGACAAGTTTGTGTGGACATATACCTCGCCTGAATTCCCAATGGCTCAAGTAAGACTCTTTGCTAGTGTTTCTTCATTACTAATAGCTTAGTGACGGTGTACTAATAAGTAAAAAGATTTCTTTACTTGGACCGTTCTTCCTCTACCTATTAGAATGAGTGAAAGTTTTTCAAATAGCTTACTGGTTGGTATAGGATAAGAAGCTGCAAAAATTCAAGCTGCCGAAGGCGGTGCTTTGTGTTGGAGGGATTTTGCAATTAGAATTGTTGGGCAGAGTTCAGAGACAAGAAATGGATGGCCTGTTTTATATATGGTAAGTATTTCCATGGCTTCTTCCTTTGTGGTGGATCTTTTCTTCTATTGGTTAGAATGCAATTGGTAATATTGTAACAATTGCGATTTCTTTGGCCTTGTCACAGCGTGGCCCATGTTCAAGTTGTTGGGAGACCACTCTTACCTGCATTCGATGCTGAAATACTCGACCAATCAGGGAAGTGCATTTTGAAGTACTACCCGGAAGAAAAGCATCCCGGGTCTCCTTCCAAGTCTGGCGAAGAGCATTCAAGTAGGCAGTCTTGTTTTCATAGATTCACTTCACGTATTCGAAGAAGTTGGGACCAAGCAATTCTGAACACGGTAATTTCAGCAGGAGCAGCCTTTGAAGACAACAACGAGGCTGCTTAGATCCTCGTCTCTCTGTTTGCTCGTGCTTCTCGAGGTTCATGAACATCTCATAACTGGAATTTATTTCTATGATTGTCTTGTGTATAACTTGCACCAGGCAGACAGCCCAGATTACCTGGTACAAGTGAGTGTACATATGTTACTGGAACATTTAGTATGAATCCTTAAAGAATCCATGCAATAAAACCTGCAAAATCTTTCATTGCTGTTTCATCAATAGGGGAATTGCAGAAAATGAAGAGGTGAGACAGAAGAGATGTGAACAATCTCTGTTAATACCAAATTAAAGATTAAAGAAGAGTTTGGGAGTTCATATCCATTGATTACACTTGCAAGGGGACTTTTAAAGGTAAAGTCACAAAGTGAAGGCAAAAAGTGCATAAAGATCACACCTAACAGAGTACAGCTACTCAACAGCACAAAGGGCTAAATGGGAACACCCGAGATAAGAAGGGGGGAATGTATTTTAAGCAACCTGTACAAATATATATGGCAAAGTACTCATCTAACAAGAGGCCATGTTAGTCATGCTTTCCACCCATAGTTCATATTATTGTCAAGATCACTGTTGAAAAAACCACTATCTGTGAAATCTTGAGATATATCAGGTAACATTTCCTCTGATATGTGAAGATTGTGCGGCAAGTCCTGTGCTTTGTGAGGGAACCCGTTACTGGCACCACCAATTGATGACTCGCTGTTAGAAGCCGCTTTGAAACTGTTGTTCCTGGATGGCGTGGGTCCGACCGCGTTTCCAGGCCCGTTTGGAGCTGCTGGTGAAGCGTTGTTTCCAAAGGCGATCCCCTCCCTTGAAACACCTCCACCGGCTGCATGACTGCTGAATGACTGTTGCTGAACAACACCTCCTCCACTGTTACTGGTGTTAATATCCTGCAGCAATTGCTGGAGGATTTGCTGTTGTACAACCTGGTTCGTGGGCTGTTGATGATTTTGAGGGAGTGACACATTACTACTGTTCAGTAAACGCTGCTGTGGTTGTTGTACATTGGCAGTCATGTAGCCACTCACTGCTATGTTCTGCATACTATTTCCCTGCAGGACGCCAGTTGGTCCTTGAAATGGTGAAGGTTGATTTTGATTGGAATTGCTTAGTGAAGACGACGCTTCCTGTTTAACCACACTGGGGTTTGAATTCATCGAGTTCTGTCGCATCAACAGGTTCTGGTAGTTAGGCGGTGCTAGAGCAGCTTGTTGTGCTGAACCACTCAAAGCTCCACAGCCAACCATTTGCTTGTTATTATTCATTTGGTTGTTAAGCCCAGGTTGCAGTTCCATTAACTTATTGAGTGTACTATGATCAGTCTGCCCCTGAATACCACCCAGTTTTTCCGCTTCCTGCACCTTCTGCATTTGGAGCTTAGCTGCACTAGTGTGTCGCGGAAAATTTTTCAATCCTTCTGCAAAGGAAAAGAAAACAGCGACGATCATATATGATATATACCATAAAGCAAGCATTCAGTATAGGCACAATACAAGTTAGGATTAGTAACTAATTTTACTTCCCCAATGGGGTTTAACGGGAAAGAAAAAAACATACCAATAGGTCCTGTTTTCTGGTCTCTGCAAAAGTCCATCAAGTCTTTCATGCTATTTACAACCTCAGCTATCTGCAGAAAAATACATCAGAATTTCAATAAAATCTCAAGAGAAGCATGACTAATGGCAAAATGTTCTACCGGAATATATAGTACAATAACACAGACCTGCAAACACCTCACGTATCTTTTGGAGAATCCCAAATCATTTAACGATTGCAGCTCCAAGCTCTTGGCAAGCTGGCGTCCAGCCGTGACAACCCTGGAGTAAAAGCAACACTACCTTTATTAGTCATCAGGTAAACATTTGTAGAATAGTTCGCATTTAGTGAGTGCTAGTCTCTATTCACAAACGATCCTGCATGTAAATGGTTCGAATACCAATATCTACCTGATTGATTAGTAAATTAGTTTACGAATAATAATAATGAAAAACTCTTCCACCCTCACCCCACACCTCATCAGTTGTGTCCAAAATCATGGACACTATTACCATTAGCAAGTAATTAGACAATCCAAACTAAGAATATAAAATATTGCATTTCACCAACAGTAAATTATCACTGACAAGTTACTGTTTGCTTGCAAGTCCTGCTGAGAAACCCCATCAGGCCCACTTTCTGATATTGTGCTCTGGCATTTCTGTGCAACCTGAACCAATTGGTTTACCTGCCAAAGAGCCAAGATATAAGAGATCAAGATGAAATAGGAAAAGTCATGTTTGACTTTCTGATTCTACATACCCAAGCCAAAACAATTACACCCCAGGAAACATGTGGCCTGAAATGGAATGCCCAGAAGAGATAAACCAGAATTTGTTATTCCATAATTTGTTTATCGTAACTGACTGACATCTGTATTTACTATATTTTTCCAATTTCACTGGATTTAGCCAAACCAGAACGTGTTCTCTAATTTGAGGGAAAAGGGGAAAGGGGGGTGGAAACAAAATGCAAGAAGTATAAAATCCAATTGAATCTCAGGTAACAGAAGAAAAAACTCAAAACCACACCTGTGGTGCAACCGATCTCCTGGGTAGAAGTTCTTCATGGCGCCGTGCACAAAACTCCCAGGATAGTATCTGTAAGTTTGAAATCAGTGCAAGTACTTGGGACATTGAATGGTGATCAAAAACAATAAAATAAGTTTCTTACCTTTAAATCAGGTGTGAAAATTATACGAAGCTGACCCTCCCTAACAACACGAAGTTGGTCATAAACACTTTCCTGAACTGCCTTCGCATACTCCAACATCATTACCCCTGATGGAAATCGACATTCACGAGGCATATCCAGGAACAATAGCTCATCGATGACACCACTGCTAAATTTTATTTCATTAAGTCTAGGAAGAACTTCAAAGGTCGCCTCTGATCAAACACACACCATAAAAGAATGAAACAAAAGTTATAGCAAGCCAAAACAAAAAATATGTTCACTTTTTAATGTATAGAAACTAAGCATGTGAAGCCAACAAATCCTATTTATCCTGGATAATATCAGAGCTTCTTACTTTCAGAATGCTTTTTTTTTAAAAAAAATATACACAAAACCATTATCAGTTTCAAGTATATATTACTGGTATTATTAGCATTCCCTTGGTTATGGGTTTACCATTTTACTATTTCCAAAATTTGTGTTACAACCCGTTATAACTGACACAATTACACTTGTGAATCTGGGACTGTTAAATAGTATTTCTCTATAATATAATAAGAAATGCATTGATGATATATCAACGTATAAAGCATGTTGAATAAGGAATTACAAACTAATAAAATTTTATAGGCGTTACCAAGAAAATCCAGATAATACAAATGTTCCTAGTATATGTTTTTCCATTTCATTCTTTTTAACTTCGTAAGTGCCAACCTATTATAGTAATCATATTACATTCTGATTTGGGATTGATAAACGGTAAAACCTAATTATTTAGGAAAAAACAGGTGAATTTTTATAAATTAATAAACAAAAATCCAATCAATATGAAGGCAAACCAATATTTTTAGTCTATATAAATGTTAATGTGTTGTAAAAGGAGCCATAGAGAGGAAATATGTATGGAATAAAACCCTATAACGCCACTTAGGTATGTTGCTCTATGGACAGTTTAAACTTTCATAAAATATCGTTACATAAAAGCCGTTATCACATTTATGGTAAAAATGATTAATTTCAGCATTATGTTCACCAAATATTTCAAATCCAAAACTAAAAGGCTAATAAAATCCGTTATCTAGTAGTTATATAAAAAACAGAATAGAAAAATAAAATACAAAATCGAAGATACAAATGTCAATAGCTTCTTTGTTCACTCACCAAAGCCTCTTCCAGATTTGGAGTTACAAATATCACACTGCCATGCATCCTGGGAAGAAAAAAGAATAACACCAAATAAGCTTTTATTCCCAAAGAACACCAAAATGTTAGTAGCCTTTTTTTGGGCCGGGGGGAGGGGGGAGGAATACAACCGTATGTATATTATTATCCTTATTACTTCAAAAAATGGGCCACACCATTATGGGCCGTACGTTTATATATCTAACAAGGTTGTAGAAGCTGCTAGGCGCTCATCGGGCGCCTAGTCACCGCCTAGGAAATTATTAACATATACATATAAACATTTGGGGATAGTTGAAATTATTAATATACATATACATATACATATATACATATATATATACATACATACATATACATATACACATATATATACATTTGCAACATATATAATATTAATTAATGATTTTAATTATTTAAAGGCATTAAATGCTTAAAGCATTAAGCATTAAGCTACTAAGAGTAAGACAATAATTGAAGAATCTCTAGTCTCTCTATCAGGGTCCAGGCGAGGTGCGAAACAGCGGAACTGGAGCTATGGAAACTGGAGAGGACGAGCTGTAGCTAGAGACAACGACGAGCTCCGTTACTGTCTACTGGCGAATCTGTTCCTCTGCAGAAGCCCCAAACAAAGCTCGAAGCTCGAAGTTTCTTTGCGCTTCAGCTACCGGCAAATCTGGCAATTGAACAGCTGGCTCTGGTGCTACGAGGACTATGGGGAGAGATTGAGGTTTGATTCTGCGAATTTGGGCCGACTCCTTCCCTTTCATGCTTTTTAATGCTTTCGGATTTAGAGTTTCATTAAAATAATTTGGTTTGTTTCACTCAAAACGACGTCGTTTTGAGCGAATCATTTAAAAAAAAAAAAAAAGTAAGTAAATGGACCCACATCATGCTTTTTAATGCTTTCGGATTTAGAGTTTCATTAAAATAATTTGGTTTGTTTTGCTCAAAACGACGTCGTTTTGAACGAAACAAACCATTAAAAAAAAAAGGAAGTAAATGGACCGACATCTAGTCGGCGGTGTAGTAGGCCGGCCGCATAGTACCCACCTACCAAGGAAATCCCATAGGCCTAGGGGCGCCTAGCGCCTAAGCAGCCACCTAGGCTGATTTTTACAACACTGATATCTGAAATCCAAAATAAAAGTTAGAGCAATTACCATAGATGCTTGGGGAAATACCCCTAGTGAATGATGACCAACATTATCATACAATGATAGGCACCACCTCTTCTTTGCACGTGGAGAGTAATATTCAGCCACAAACTTTCTCCAATAGGCAATTGAATTTTCCTGTAGGAAAAATAATAAATTAAAGAAAAAGTTGAGCACTGGGATATTTTGGCTTGAGGCTTGGTGCCAGTGATTATTTAAAAATAAAAAAAGAAATATTACTTACGGGAGGTCTTTGGCGCTGGTGATACAAGTATTTCATTAGCCGCCGAGAGCAGACACCACCATCATAGGGTCGTTTCACAGCATTTGCTGCAGGCTGCATGCCTTGTTGAAGTTGTTGTCGCAACTGCATCTGGTGTTGTTGCTGTAACAACTGGTTTCGCTGCACAGCTGGCATGGACTGCAATAGCTGTTGCTGCTGTTGCCTTAGCCTCTGCTGCTGAATTAAAGCTTGAAATTGAGGATTGGAGTTCTGTAGGTGCAAAGAGTCCTGTCGTTGCAGTAGTTGTTGCAGAACTTGCTGTTGCAGAATATCTTCCTGCTTGATCTCCATGCGCGGTCTCTTTTGCAGCTGGGAAATAGTAGGATCTTGAATGAATGAACCAGTCCCTCTCAGTCCTTGCCCATTTGGAAGTTGTACCTGACCTATCCTTGAACTAGGTAAGGATGTAGCACTTGATGCTCCTCGATGCTGCTGACTTTGCTGAAGTTGTTGAGAGGATGGATCTTGGTTTGAGCTTTGCTGAACAACTGAGGATCCATCAATAACAGATGAGCCAGAAATACTGATATTATTGGAAGTGAATGACATGGGTGACGCAGGCAAACGCATATAAGATTCTGTATTGATGCTTGCACTTCTTTGAAGATTGGGACCTGCAGAAAGTCCTGAGTTCGCATCCGTCACTAATGAACTTGCCCCAACACTTGGACCTGAGCTTGCCACACTATTCAAAACAGTATCTCCAGACACAGGACCCAGACTTGACCGTGGATTTCCAGGAATTAAATTTGATGAATTTGCAAAAGATGAACTTAAGTGGGCATTGCCAACAACTTGTGACTGCCCATCACCTTGGAAAAAGATGCCAGAAGTAGAAGGAGATTGTGCAATACCTCCCGTCACCCGAGAATGCACCATTGCTGGGGCATTCCCCTGATAACCAGAATCCAAATAGCTCTCCAGTGCCAGACCTTTCGCGGATTCTCCTAAAGGGCATAAATCTGAACTAATTATCACACCATTGATTTCAATGATATTTAAATACAATCAGTAATAAGTTAATAAGCTGTTCCAGACCATCCCCCAACCCAGACACCCCACGACAACCAAATGCAACATCAGGTTCGCATCAACTCAACTCATTATAGATGCCACATCCAACTGATCAAATCAAGAAATAAAATTCAAGTTCTAATGAGCCAAAGGGGGTTTAAAAATTAGAAACACAAAATTAACAGCTAGAAACCCGAGCAGCTCCAGAAAATTAAACACAAGTAATCAAGCACAAATCAAAGCTTAAATAGCCTCAGGAAAACAATAAATCAGCCTCCAACACTGTATCGCAACCAAAAATAACCATCCCACGTTTCTCTCCGTAAAGCCCTAATTTTGTCCATAACAAAATTAACAAACAAACAACGAACTTTGTAGTGATTTACCGCAAACCCTCGCCAATTAGCAACTCTAACACCCGATAAAACCGATAAAGAGAAGCTTGTTTGACAAACAACTCGAACGTATCCAAATCAAAATATTTAGTCGCGGGCACACCCCAAGTGGCCAAAATTGGGATCACTTGAGTGAAAAAAGGTGCTCAATTTACAGATATTCGGGAGTGAACTCTAGTAGAAGACGAGAATTAAATTCTTGCTAGCTTCTTTTTGAACTGTACGAGATGAATCGAAAAAGTGCAGGGGAAGAATGAACAGAAAAAAACTTCATAAAGAGGGGGGAAAACACAACTTTACAGCTCAATACTGAGGAGAATTCCTGAATTCCCAAAAGAGAAAGTAATGGAATTAGCAAGATTCTGAAATTTAGAAATAAAGAAGGTAGAGTGAAGAATAAGAAGAAGAGAAGAAGAGCTACTAACCTCGAGACAACGAACTGCGAGAGCGAAAGTGAATTTTTTTGAGAAGAAATAATCGGAGAAACACTAGGAAGATCTCGATCGCTGATTTTTATACCTAGCGGGAATTGGAGGGGAGTGACCGGCTGTAGCCGTGTCTAACCCTACGGAACCGGTGACAGCCGGTTGCTATACGGACACGTTTCGGCTGTCCCATAGGGCTACGTAGACGGCGGTAGATTGAAGGGTGGCGACCCGAAGTCGTCGGGTTTGACGCTGTACGTGGCACCTGCTTATTGGACTATTTGCGGATAGAGAGAGAAGCGTAACAGAGTAGGTCTCTTCGGTGAAGTATGAGGTACGGTTATGATGACCTAACAGTGAGATAACGGAAGTTTGATCTGCCTGCCTCACCGTTGGATCACCTTGTGATCTAGTGTGAACCGCCAAGTCAAATCTCTTTTACAATCTTCTCCAAGGGTCCTTTGGTTCAAAACACTTTCTTTTTTTACTTCATTTGAAAGAGCAATGAGATTAGAATGACTAAAATAAATATATGTAACTATATAAATTAGATTAAAATATTAGCTGTTTTTTACACATATATAAATTAGATTAAAATATTAGCTGTTTTTTAGGAAAAAAAACAAAATATATTATTAAATCAAATGAGCAATACAAGACGGAATAGAAAAAATCCAACTAGCATGACCAAACTGAGAACAAGCACCTTGTTCTCACCTCTAGCAAGAGCGCGAGCGTGCTTGTTCGGTGATCTAAGAATAAAACTAAACGATATTATCTCAAAGTGTTGATGAAAAGTACGACGCTCGTTGATCTCAAAATATTAGCCGTTTGAAATGGTAATGAATTATATTTGAATTTTGAAGTACGATTTGTCTAATATATTTTTCAACTCACTACATCTCAATTAAAATTTTAAACGTTCACAGACCCTGCACGAAACAATTATATATTTCAACATTTACAGTATATTTTTAATAATAGACTATAAAAAAGAAGTAATACAAATAATATATTAAAAATATACAAGAAATTTGTTCGGGTACATATATAAAATGACAACTATAATCTTAAAATACTAACTTGCATCACCTGTTACTCCGTATTATATAAGGAATGTTTACAATCCATGTAGATTCATAGAATATGATATCTATACAGTGTTATTATGTAAAGAATATTTACAACCCACGTGAATTCATATTAGTGGATATCTATACAGTGCTGTTATGTAAGAAGTGTTTACAACCCAGGTTGATTCATATAACCGGATATCTTATTGTGCTATTATGTAATGAATGTTACAATCCACGTGGATTCATATCCACGGATACTTATAGCATATCGTCATCGAATCTTACAAACTCGCTCCAACAATTATCACGTGCAGAATGCTTATAACCCACGACATTTTAATACAATCAGATACCTATAGTAGTATTTTTTTTTTGAGTGAGAATTAGATACCTATAGTATGATGTGAGTTTTCATCATATACTCTTAAAAAATAAACTCGCCTCACTAGTTATCGTGTATGAATTTAATGCGCGCATGCGCGCACACACGATTTAAAAGAAAACAAGCAAAAAATCATCCCACTAACTATCACTTGCAAAAATATTTACAATTCGCACGAATTTAATACAAAGTGGATACAAATAATATAAGACTCTGTTTGATAGATCTTATTTTAAAAAGTTAATGCCATCTAAGGTCATTCGAGTCGGGTGGTTTCGCTATGTTTAGTCATAAACTTTCAAATCGATCCCCGTGGTCTTTCGAGTTTCGAATTTTGACCTGCTGTAATCCTTTCGTTAACATATGTCGTATGCGTTGTGAAAAATAAAGACAAAAGAGTATTTTTATGTCCAACCCAGCTAAAATAATTGATTTTCCTCAAGAATTAGCTCTAATCTTATATAACATTTGTCGTATGCGTCGTGAAAAATAAGGGTAAACTAATTTTTATTTTTTTATTTTTTAATGTCCAACCCAATCAAAATAATTGATTTCCCTAAAAAATTAGGCCTAATCTCTGGAGATGGCGATTTGCGATGATTTGGCTAGTCGCCTTATCTGGCAGATGGTGACCTGCGACAGCTGAGCGACGGATGTTTGTCAGAATGGTGCCTGAACTGAAATGACCTGTAATAACAAGTTATTTACCAATTTTTGGGCTTCATTGCCTCAAATTGACATGTTAAAGGGTGTAAGTGCATGATTAAATTGATTACTTGATTGAGCATATGTGGAAACGATATTTTGAAAATTAAATGTAATAATTGTTATATGTTATATTATTGTGGAATAAAAGTATTATTTGCATTACAATTAAATTTATATTAAAAATTAAAATTTTAATTTATGAGGTACAAATTATTTTATTGTAGAAATAAAATTTGGTGTAATAGATTAGAGATGAATAAAATTTAGTATAAGAATATCTTGAAAATATTACTTTTAGTGTAAAATTTGATACAAATTTTATTTTTTTTGGATTGGATATGACTTAAATACAATTGGCCAATGGCCGGCAAATTATGCTCTGGACCCGTGTCCACATTGAATTGTGGACACGGGCCCAAAACGACGTCGTTTTTAAAAAAAAAACGCGTCATTTAGTTAAAAAAAAAAAATTCGCGCGTGTTTTGCCGTTAACGGCGTTATTTTTTTTTTATTATGAATGTACAGTTATGCCGTTATGAATGTACAGTTATGCAATTATGAAATTATGAACACAGAGCTCTAACATTATGAACTTACAATTATGAACATATATAGTGATAAAATTATGACCATGGAGCTTTAAAATTGTGAATATAGAGCTTCGAAGATTATGAATGTACAGTTATAGAGTTATGAATCTACAGTTATGGAGTTATGAATCTACAGTTATGAGATTATGAATCTACAGTTATGGAATTATGAATGTACAGTTATTGATCGAATTATGAACAAAGAGCTCTAACATTATGAACTTACAATTATGAACATATAGTGATAAAATTATGAACATAGAGCTCTAAAATTGTGAACATAGAGCTTCGAAAATTATGAATGTACAATTATGGAGTTATGAATGTACAGTTATGAAGTTATGAATGTACAATTATAGAGTTATGAATGTACAGTTATAGAGTTATGAACATACAGTTATGGAGTTATGAATGTATAGTTATTAACATATAGCAATAAAATTATGAACATATACTTCTATAACAAAGTGATCTGAAATTAAAAAAAAAAAAAAAGGAAATAACAGTGCCTAACGGCATTGCTGGACACGGGTCCAAGGCATAACGATTACCAATGGCCACAACCCCTCTACATCTCTTTGACAATAGGCATCTACCAAATTACAAATGGGCCAGGCTCCACACAAAAAAAAGTTATTAAACATACTATTTCGGGATACAATAATTTTTATATGGTAACAACTAAGTCATAATGGATTAACAGATGTTCGTTACAAAAATATTTTACTTATATTATAGAGAGTGCACCAAGGATCTTCTGGTGTAATGATACCAAGTTGAACTCCCGGTATGAGAGGTTGTGGGTTTGAGCTCAGTGGAGGTGAACGGATACTACATTTTAATAGAGTTAATAGTATTAAAAAAGAGAGTGCATATATTATTGTCATTTGTTCGATGAATATAAATAAAAAGAAAAAGAAAAAAAATAAAACATCAACTCTTTAACTTAACAATTAATTAATACTTTAAAAATTTAGCAGTAAAATGAAGACATTATATACACGTTTATTTGATTTGGGTGATAAGGGCAAAAATACATGAAACACATGGGTACAAATGTGGGACAGTGTAATCCTTGGTAAAAAGAATGTGTGATTCACAGCTAGGATGATTGGGTTGACAAAAGTCAACATTCTGATTTCTGAGCATGTGGTGGAACTGTAGAAGATGGATACGGATGGACCGTCAGCTCAAAAGCATGTAGAGACACACTCACGTGCGAAATACATACGGTCCGCTCTCTTAGGTTGAATTTCCAATCTAAAAAAAACTCTTCATATTTGTGATATTTTCCGCTCTGGGAAAATTATCACTCATGAAAATCAAATTTGGATTATTCGGCCAAAGTTTATTTATCACTTAAGCTACCTATGAGATTATTTTTATGGGATTGTTGGACATTAAAGATAAAATTATAAATATTATACAGAAAAAAATACGGAGTATTTGCACAAAAAAATAAATAAATATTGTACTCCGTATTAGTTATTGAAATTGAAATGTGACGCTCATATTGGCGCGTGGATTTCCCCATGCACGGATAACCTATCGCCGGTGAGCACCAAGAGTTCCAGAAGTATTATCCATCACCAGAGAAAGCTGCAAGCGAAGATGAGCAGCGGCTCCGTCTCACTCGCTTTGTTGGTGCCGTTCCTGTCGAGAGGCCGGACCAAATTTCAGCTTCCGCCGGAAATTTTCCGCCACGGGATCCGGAAATTGTCCCGGAAGATTTGTTGTAACCGTACAGACAGCTCTTCTGGGAGCACTAAAATTGAACAGCAACAGCTTAACCTCTCGGTTCTTCGTTTCACTCTCGGTATGTACATATACAGACACCTTATAATCTTATATCGGATTGATATGTATACCTGTGTATCTGAATGCAGTAATGTTTGTTTAATTTCTGGAAAAAGGAATACCTGGATTGGATGAATCGTATTTACCGAGATATATAGGGTACACATTTGGTTCGTTGTTATTGTTGAATCACTTTGTAGGCTCGGATTCATCAACCGTCACTGCGGCCCAGTTGGTGAGAGCTTGAAACCTTTATACACAATGGTACTAGCAATATATTGTTGATATTTTGGAAGGTATATATATACATTGGTTTGGTTTCTTTTGAATAATTTCATAATTTCAACTTTGTATTTCCCTGTATTGCGTAGAGAACAGAGGTGTTAGGCATTTTTCTTGCTGCCTTCTCTGTAGTAGTCCCCTACCTTGGGAGATTTCTGAAGGTGATTTCTTCTCATTTCCTTTGTTGAAACTATTGGAGTTTATTTTCGTGTTTATTCGGATTGGCTTTATTGGAGTTATTTTGTTTCTTTTATGATCTTGTAATGTAATATCCTCAGCTAGGGCACTAGATAGAAGTTTGCTTTTTTAGTTATCATTGCTTCGAACAATCGAACTTGATAGTTTGAGGCAGGAAAAATGTCTTTATTAAAAATGCAGGCCATAGATGCTTGCTAGTTAAGTGCTTGTGCTTTTCTGTCTGTGTTTGTAAGGTTATAATCTGATGGGCATATAACATTCCTGTTGACAAGTTGTGTATTCAACCATCTTTGTTGAGGATACTGTAGATTAGAAGTTAAAAGCACATTTATCATTTTTGCATAGTACAGAAGTACAGAAGGTTACATCCAATGTATTCCATTAACTGTAGGGGGCTGTTCTAGTTAACGAAAGAAATGTTCCTGATGGTGCTGACCAAACCTTTGTCATATCACAAAATGTTCCGGGTACTCTGAAGGAGGATTTGGCTTGGGGATCATATGTTCTATTGCGCAATACAAACACCATATCAGTGGTATATTTTGGACTCAACATTTGAATAGATATGGGATGATGATCTTAATACCATTACATAGGGGATTTCAGTATCCTTTGCTAGTTATTTATGCCATTTGATTTTCCCACTATTTCATTTTGAAATTTTGTAGCTTATCTCAACTCAAGATGCACTGTGTGTGCGTGGCTACTGGACAACTCCTCAAGATGTAGCAAAAGCCGATGTCTGTAATTGGTTTGAGAAACAGATTCAGCAACTTGGTCTATTGAATTTGAAGGACACACTCTATTTTCCTCAAGCTACAGGTATGCGTTGTCTTATTGCTATTGCCTGTTGTGGAAAGTATTTGACGATTAGCTCGTTTTAATTTGCTGCTAAAGTTTTCAGATTTCTGGGTAAATCATGATATCAGTGCCATTGGATTTGACAGTCACCGGCTTATCAAATATATTTAACCTTAAACTTGGATGGTGTATAGTTGGTCCTTGATTTCCCACAATATAACATTTGCATTCTCATGTTGTGATGTCATCCTTAAGTTGCACTCTTTGTCCATTTGAAGACCAAATTTATCATATCTGCAGCTGTGATCAGTTAAAAGAATGTCTTATATCCAGATTCTCAACTCAAGGAGCTGCTTCCAAAGGGAACTCGTTCTCTCCTTGTACAGCCGCTGCTGGGGTCTCCTGATCCAAGTTACAAGGAGGACACGCCAAAGAATGAGGGTTTTGTCCTGGTGGCTTCCGGCAACAGTTATGCATATGATAGTAAGGACATAGCCTGGATCAGAGTAGTTGCGGGAAAATTTAGAGGTAACTGCATTTTTTCAGATCTGTAATGCCCCGTAAATGCACCAAATCCTGTTTGCTTATTTTTACATATCTTCTTTGTATACCTGTCTTGTTGTCTTGTATGTGTATATACGTTAATTCTTGGTTGCAAATATGAAATATGCAATATATATGTTGATTTTATGTTGTCTATTGACGACTTTTTCTGTGGCCTGGAGTCCTGTTTCTCATGCATGGAGTAGTATAGATGCGGAGAACGATGGCCATGGTGTCCTCCACAGTGATGGGCGAGGATGACAGCTTCTTGTTCTCCTCAACCATTCCTCCATAGTTTACAACCATAGCTCACCTAGAAATTAAAGGCATTTGTAAGTTAAAAAAAAAAAAAAAAAGAAGTTTCTCTACATTAGTACAAAATTAGCTAAAAGTTTTCATGTAAGATGCCGTGGTAGCAATTAATAAGAACAATTGGATTTTAATAAAAGTGCTAATTGTATTTTTCTTTTCTTTTCTGAGTTTGATAATCTTTGAGTAAATACCCAAAATGGTCCCTCAACTATAGCTAAATTCACAAATTGGTCATCGACTTTTAATTTCAACCAATTAAGTTCTTAACTTTGCAATTTTGACACGATTTGGTCCTCCATCTATTTAACCGTTTGTTGACCGCGATCTTTGAGGATATATATGTAGTTTCACGTGCAAAGCTCAAGAAAACGCTCTTGGAGGTGACATCGTTGTTTCGGAGGGGGAAGTGCTTCTCTGCTTGCTGCTTGGGGATCACGAGCCGGTTCAGCTTAGAGAACGCTCTTGGAGGTGACAGCGCCGTTTCGGATGGGGAAGTGTTTCTCCGCTTGCTGCTTGGGGATCGCGAGCCTGTTCAGCTTGCCTACATCGCTTGGAGTCACAGATTTCTCGAAGAGCCACTCCAGGGACTTTGGCGATCTATCTATCAAAAGCTATAATCTCTCCGGCATGGGGTGCAGCGCCGGCAGGGGATTCAAATGTAACAGTGCAGTCTAGAAATGCAACCGGAACCTTAAAAAATCGACGATGGACCATGAAATTACATATATATCCTGAAAAAGCGCAGTCAACAAATGGTCAAATAAACAAAGGACCAAATTGTGTTAAAATTGTAAAGTTAAGGACTTAATTGGTTAAACTTAAAAGTCGAGGACCAATTTGTGAATTTAGTTATTGTCCAGGGACCATTTTGGATATTTACTCATAATCTTTTATTCAAAAGTTTGAAACCAACCCACTACCAAAAGTCCAAAACCCATGGTTTTAAGGTTCCAACATTCTTGAACTACAAGTCCCAACTAAGCTTTTGTCCGGCAATTTATATATCTTGGACCGGGTCTACATTATGGATCTTGGATCGAAACGACGCGGTACATAATTCATAAATCGTAAGACACATATTATATATTTATTTATTTTAATTTTCAAATTTGATTTAGGTACGTAATTTATGTTTATAGGCATAGAATTTCACAACATAATACACAATTACTAATTTGTTTCAGGTACATAATTTATACTCAAGTATAAAATTTCATAATATAAGACATAAAAACTCATAACATAGCCAACTACCTTGTAGTGTGATGGCATTCCAGTTGCCATTTCAATTAGATGGTCATAGGTTTGAATCCTAGTGGAGGGATTTAGATTTTTTGTACTGAAAATGTTTGAGAAATAATAGAACAGATACTACTTGTAACGAATCATGAATATTCTAAAAAAAAAAAAAATTCATAATATAAGACACATACACGTGCACCTGTGAATCCTAGTTCATGGTATAAGGATTGGCTTTTTTTTTGAGTCAGAATGACTTTTTTGACTTGAAATCGCATCAGTGCTAATAACAACAACAACAATGATGTTATCATCAATTAAAATATAATAATAATAATAATAATAATAATAATAATAATAATAATTATTATTATTATTATTATTATTATTATAATAGGGTAATTACCCCATTGATGCAGACCGCATCTCTCCACAATGCTAACAGCGATAACGATCAACATGTGAAGAAAGCTTCCAAAATTCTCCCCCTCTTTGCTGATAAAGACTAGAGAGTTAAGATGATCCGTCTGTAATCTTGACGTAGCGCCCAATGATTCGTAATAATTTGTTGATAGAACTTAATTACTATTAATAGCCATTTAAAATGAAATAGGTAATCTTTTCAATGTACCAAATACATTAGAATACTAAGAAATAGTAATTATGATGAAAAGGTAATAAACGTGATTAACCACAAAGCTTATTAACAATAATAATTAATCAATGCTTATCAGTATAACTAGAATATAAAGGCAAAACTGCGATTAAGGGGATGGTAAACCTACAAAATAACATTAATTGTATACAAACTATATATGCCCTATATACTGTATCCATCAAGAGAGACTTTATATAGGCATAGTAGTTGATGAAAAACAACTTTTAGTCATTTAATTCAACCAAATTACTTCATAGGTATACTTAACTTGCACCAAATAATTAAGACCTTTAATATAATATACTCCGTATATTATAAGAGAAAATCTTACACTTTTAATGCATATGGGAAAGATTAAATCCAATTGACACTAGACTTTCTTTACCAATTACCATGCATGCATGGCTGCATTAGATATAGAAAATTGCTTGCAAGAAACTGGTGCCCACTCAATGCCCAAAATTAAAATATTTTTTCGCATTCATCATCATCCTTGTTACCATTGTAGTTTCTACCCGTTGGCCGGAGGCGGGAAAGCTTCAATCTGCAACAGTCCTACAGAGCATCTATACACTACTCCGATCCATATCTCTAAAACAATTAACTCTAATTTTCAAACAAAATCCATTATTTCTCCGATCCGATCCATAATATCAGATCAGAGTAACATCACATGAGTCCAGCGTTGTTAGTTGTCACTCTCAATATTCATCCTCTTTCTCTATGGATCACTCACACTATATATCCTTTTGAAGACAAGGAATCTATAATGACGATTGAAATAGATTCAGAAGATCGAGGGTGGAGATTATTGAAGATGGAATATATAATTAAGACAAGGAATCTATAACTAAACTCATATCTGCAGCAGGTGGTATATATATATAAGTACTGGCCAGCCCTAACCGCATAAGAAGCAAAGTCATAAGTGGTATCTATATATTCAAGTTTATTAATTCTTAGAAGAAGTACAGTCACAATTAAGACAATGTTCTGGACATTTGAACTCCACTCCCAATTCATGGATGCCGTCATTGAACTAGGTGGCATTAAGGGTAAGATATATATATTTTTTTTGTTTCACTAAAAGAATTAATGAATACTATTTTTTTTAATATTATATTGCAAAATTTATTACATGCAGATGCTGTGTCAAGTCAAATTTTAGAGCTCATGGATGTGCCGGGATTAACATGGAAAAACGTTAATAGCCATTTGCAGGTGGAGTTTGTTTTTATCTGATCTACTATTCCAATATATTAATGTAACATTGTTCTTCTTGGATCACCCATTTAAAGTAGTAGTTTGAAAATTTACAGAAAATTCGAATCCTCCAAGTTCGAGGACCAGAAAGGATGAACAAAAATGCCATATTTCATCAACAGTACCTGCTAACCACCACAGGAGGGGCCAGGATATTCCAGGATTGGAGCCGGTTCTTGAGTGCGTGTAGTAGTTTTAGGAATGATGATGATATTATGAATGATATTTATGGCAGTCTTAGTCCACTCTGGGACTTACCGATGCTTGAGGATGATTAATACTTTTTCTAATCTTTGTTGTAATTTTGTGATGTACTTTGATGCTTATGTGTGCTTTTTTACTTGAATAAATTAAATTTAGTTCTCCCTATTTTATTGTGCTATCGTATTTATCATTATCATCATCCAAGGCAATTATTCTAAATTGCTTGTTTCACAGAGAGTTTAATTTAAAATACTAATAAACTATAAATTTTGTTTGATAACATTCACAAAATAAAATAGTAACTTAAAATAAGAACTTATTTTGAAGAAAAAATAGAGTATTTACAAAAAAAAAAAATATTGTACTCCGAAATTTTTAGTTATTGAAATTGAAATGTGCGCGTGGATTTCCCGATGCACGGATAACCTATCGCCGGTGAGCACCAAGAGTTCCAGAAGTATTATCCATCACCAGAGAAAGCTGCAAGCGAAAATGAGCAGCGGCTCCGTCTCACTCGCTTTGTTGGTGCCGTTCCTGTCGAGAGGCCGGACCAAATTTCAGCTTCGCCGGAAATTTTCCGCCACGGGATCCGGAAATTGTCCCGGAAGATTTGTTGTAACCGTACAGACAGCTCTTCTGGGAGCACTAAAATTGAACAGCAACAGCTTAACCTCTCGGTATGTACATATACAGACACCTTATAATCTTATATCGGATTGATATGTATACCTGTGTATCTGAATGCAGTAATGTTTGTTTAATTTCTGGAAAAAGGAATACCTGGATTGGATGAATCGTATTTACCGAGATATATAGGGTACGCATTTGGTTTGTTGTTATTGTTGAATCACTTTGTAGGCTCGGATTCATCAACCGTCACTGCAGCCCAGTTGGTGAGAGCTTGAAACCTTTATACAATGGTACTAGCAATATATTGTTGATATTTTGGAAGGGATATATATACATTGGTTTGGTTTATTTAGAATAATTTCATAATTTCAACTTCGTATTTCCCTGTATTGTGTAGAGAACAGAGGTGTTAGGCCTTCTTCTTGCTGCCTTCTCTGTAGTAGTCCCCTACCTTGGGAGATTTCTGAAGGTGATTTCTTCTCATTTCCTTTGTTGAAACTATTGGAGTATATTTTTGTGTTTATTCGGATTGGCGTTATTGGAGTTATTTTGTTTCTTTTATGATCTTGTAATGTAATATGCTCAGGCTCAGCTAGGGCACTAGATAGAAGTTTGCTTTTTTAGCTATCATTGCTTTGAACTTGATAGTTTGATGCAGGAAAAGTGTCTTTATTGAAAATACAGGCAATAGATGCTTAATAGTTAAATGCTTGTGCTTTTCTGTTTGTGTTTGTAAGGTTATAATCTGATGGGCATATAAGACTCTTCTAACATTCATGTTGATAAGTTTTGTATTCAACCATCTTTCTTGAGGATACTGTAGATTAGAAGTTAAAGCACATTTATCCATTTTTGCATAGTACAGAACTACAGAAGGTTACATCCAATGTTAACTAAAGTATCAGAACTTCTGTTATTCCGTTAACTGTAGGGGGCTGTTCTAGTTAACGAAAGAAATGTTCCTGATGGTGCTGACCAAACCTTTGTCATATCACAAAATGTTCCGGGTACTCTGAAGGAGGATTTGGCTTGGGGATCATATGTTCTATTGCGCAATACAAACACCATATCAGTGGTATATTTTGGACTCAACATTTGAATAGATATGGGATGATGATCTTAATACCATTACATAGGGGATTTCAGTATCCTTTGCTAGTTATTTATGCCATTTGATTTTCCCACTATTTCATTTTGTAGCTTATCTCAACTCAAGATGCACTGTGTGTGCGTGGCTACTGGACAACTCCTCAAGATGTATCAAAAGCCGATGTATGTAATTGGTTTGAGAAACAGATTCAGCAACTTGGTCTATTGAATTTGAAGGACACACTCTATTTTCCTCAAGCTACAGGTATGGGTTGTCTTACTGCTATTGCCTGTTGTGGAAAGTATTTGACTATTAGCTCGTTTTAATTTGCTGCCAAAGTTTTCAGATTTCCGGGTAAATCATGATATCAGTGCCATTGGCATTCAAAAAAAAAATGATATCAGTGCCATTGGATTTGACAGTCACCGGCTTATCAAATATATTTAACCTTAAACTTGGATGGTGTATAGTTGGTCCTTGATTTCCCACAATATAACATTTGCATTCTCATGTTGTCATGTCATCCTTAAGTTGCACACTCTTTGTCCATTTGAAGACCAAATTTATCATATCTGCAGCTGTGATCAGTTAAAAGAATGTCTTATATCCAGATTCTCAACTCAAGGAGCTGCTTCCAAAGGGAACTTGTTCTCTCCTTGTACAGCCGCTGCTGGGGTCTCCTGATCCAAGTTACAAGGAGGACACACCAAAGAATGAGGGTTTTGTCCTGGTGGCTTCCGGCAACAGTTATGCATATGATAGTAAAGACAGAGCCTGGATCAGAGCAGTTGCGGGGAAATTTAGAGGTAACCGCATTTTTTCAGATTTGTAATGCCGTTAATGCACCAAATCCTGTTTGCTTATTTTTACATATCTTCTTTGTATACCTTTCTGGCTGTCTTGTATGTTTATATACGTTAATTCTTGGTTGCAATTTGCAAATATGAAATATGCATATATGTTGATTTTATGTTGTCTATTGACGACTTTTTCTGTGGCCTGGAGTCCTGTTTCTCATGCATGGAGTACTATAGTCTATAGATGCGGAGAACGATGGCGATGGTGTCCTCCACAGTGATGGGCGAGGATGACTGGTTCTTGTTCTCCTCAACCATTCCTCCATAGTTTGCAACCATAGCTCACCAAGAAATTAAAGGCATTTGTAAGTTAAGAAAAAAAAAAGTTTCTCTACATTGGTACAAAATTAGCTCAAAGTTTTCATGTAAGATGCCGTGGTAGCAATTAATAAGAATAATTGGATTTTAATGAAGTGCTAATTGTATTTTTCTTTTCTGAGTTTGATAATCTTCTATTCAAAAGTTTGAAACCAACCACTACCAAAATCCAAGGTTTTAAGGTTCGAACATTCTTGAACTACAAACCCACTATGCTTTTGTCAGGCAATTTATATCATGGACAAAGGTCCACATAACATTATGGACCTGGATCAAAACGACGAGGTACATAATTTATATTTGTAAAAAAATCACAACACATACAAATTATATATTTACTTATTTTTTAAATTTGATTTAGGTACATAATTTGTGTTCTTAGGCATAGAATTTCGTAATGCAAGATACAAAAATTCATAACATTATTTGTTTTAGGTGCATAATTTATACAATTAAAGTATTCATAATATAAAATATAAAAGCTCACAATATAATACATATGTACCAAGATCCACGGTGCCCATGAACTCTGGTCCATTGTATAAGGATTGACTTTCATCATTGTCCAACAAAGTTTGTTTGAGTCACAAGGACTTTTCCCTTGAAATCACATCAGTGTGCTAATTCTTTTTCCTTATCATAAAGTCCAACAATAAATTACAGCCCATCAATTCTAAAAATAAAAATAAAAAAGAAAATACAGCCCAGCACATATTGATTGAGATTACGGCAAATTAAACTTAGAAAATTTTAAATAAATGACCACATTTCAAAAAAAAAAAAAAGGAAAATGGTCAAATAGGCCCTCGAACTTTAGCTTAAATGTCAATTAGGCCCCTAAACTTTTTAAAGGTGTAATTACACCCATCAACAATTCATTTAAGTGCAATGAAGCCCAAAAACAAATTAATGACCTGCTATCATAGGTCATTAGGGTTCAGGCCACCTTCCGGCGAATTTTTCGACAAAAAAAAAAAGTGATCGGCGAAATTTTTGACAAAAGAAGTGACCGACGAAATTTTCGACAAATCTGGGTCGGTTGCTGGTCACCTATTTTTTGTCAAAAAAAAATTTTGCCGGAAGGTGGCCTATTTATATGTAATTTCTCCATGTTTTCTAGGGTTTCCTACGTTTCTCCCTGCGATCTAGGGTTTCACTTTACGACGTTTTTCTGCTGCATGAACGGAGATAGCGCTTTTGGACACGATTACGATGGACGTACAGGGGTTGATAGCGGGCGCCGCGAGTATTACGTTGGAGGATGAGGAGGTAGGGGTGAGGTTCGACGATGTTGCAAAGGGTGTTGTCGGAGATGCACCAGAGCGGCAAACTTGGTCTATAGTAGGGCGGTTTTTGACTGACCGGCTGTTGAAACAGGAGATAATGAAGCGAGTTATGGCGTCGGCTTGGCGTCCTTTGATGGGCATCGAAGTCTCTGATGTGCAACCAAACCTGTATCTATTCACCTTTTTTAACAAGGCGGATATGGAGCGAGTTCTAACGGACGGCCCATGGGCCTTTGAGAATGCGACTTTCTTGTGTCAACCATTGAATGTTGGCGAGGATCCTACGCAGGTTGTGCTCTCCACGGTGGATATTTGGTTGCAGGTCTTCGATTTGCCGCCGGGGTATCGGACAGTGAAGGTATTGGAGAAGATTGGAGATTTTGCAGGTGTGTTCCTGCATGTTGATGACCGAAATTTCACCAGACCATGGGTTTCTTATTACAGAATTCGGATAACTCATGATGTTACTGCCCCTATTAAAAGGCGAATGAAGATGGTGCTGCGGGATGGTTCTTCGACGTGGGTAAATTTTAAATATGAGCGGCTCCATATGTTTTGTTTTTTCTGCGGAAAAATGGGCCATACTGACAAGTTTTGTTTGGAGGCGAGAAGATCCGGATTGCGGCCTGAACAGTTTCTGTTTGGTCCGGGGTTATGGGCTGGGGGTTCTAGTCCAACGAAGGTTCTTGGGGATAAATGGTTTCAGATGGGGCAGGAGAGGAGACGTGTTATTGGATATGGGAGTGTGGCTGGCGAGGTTACTGTTACGGGGCAGCCGGGGTTGGGGGCGGGTGGTTCGGTGGTGGAGGAGCTGGTTGTGGGGGGAGGGTCATCGGGTCGAGGGATGGAGGAGGAAGGGGTACGGGCAGAGCCGAAGAGGCGTAGGGTGGAGGAGGAGGATGGTTTGGTGGTTAGGGAGGAGAGGGGCATGAATGTTGACTCCGTTGCGGGGTGTCTGGCGAGGCCTGAGGATTAGGCCCGCCACTCTCAATGAGTACCTTATTTTGGAACTGCCGTGACTTGGGCAATCCACGGACAGTTCGAGAGGTGGTGGACATTGTGTTCAGGAAGAAGCCCGAGTTTGTGTTCTTAATGGAGACGAAGGTGGGAGGGGATCATGCGGAGAGGTTAAGGGTGAAGTTGGGGTTTGAAGGTTGCTTCAAGGTGGATAGTGTAGGAACGAGGGGTGGCCTTTGCTTTTTGTGGCTACGAAACAACACTGCCAGGTTGATTAAATATTCCCGTCATCATATAGATCTCCAGGTGTCTCTGCCGGGAAGGGATCCGTGGAGGTTAACTTGTTATTATGGCTATCCAGAAAGGACAAGGAGAAGGGCTGCATGGGATTTGTTGAGATCGTTTAAGCCTGTTTCGGATCTTCCGTGGGTGGTTTTAGGTGATTTCAATGACTTAATTATGCAAACTGAGAAGCGGGGTAGATTGCCACATCCGAATGGGTTGTTGGAGGGGTTTGGGGATGCGTTGGATGATTGTGGACTGGTTACGCTTCCCATGATTGGATATCCTTACACATGGGAGCGTGGGAAGGGGACTGAGGACTGGGTGGAGGAGAGGTTGGATAGGGTGTGACATGCATGCGGTGGCGGGAGGTTTATGAAAGGGCTCGGGTGTTTAACATTCGAACAGACGAGTCTGATCATACGGCCCTCTTCCTGGATATCTATGGTGAGGCCCCGGTTTATCATCCCCGGGGTTTCAGATTTGAGAATGCTTGGTTGCAAGATGAGGGGTGCAGGGAGGTGGTGGAGAGGGAGTGGTTCTCTTCCGCGGGGTTGGGTTTGCAAGCGAGATTGGGTGTGTGTGGCCGGGGCTTGAAAAAGTGGGGTGGTGAGAGCTTTTATAAGTTTGGAAGGAGACTGGAGGGGATTAGGAGGGAGATGAACGCTTTACGGGGCTGTTTTGATCCTGGTTCTCTAGCTCGTTTCAGGCATCTTGATGCCACTCTGAGTAATGTGCTTTCTCAGGAAGAGGCTTTCTGGAGGTAACGTGCCAAGCAACATTGGCTGCAAGGGGCGGATAGGAATACTAAGTTCTTTCATAAGTATGCCGGGCATCGTAGGAAGAAGAATATGATCTTGAAACTACAGGATGATGGGGGTGTATGGAAGGAGGGAAGAGAGCTTGATGAGTTGATTGTTACATATTATAAACAGATATTCACATCTCAGGGGTCCCCGGGCTCCTTCAATGTGGAAATCTTGCAGCCACGAGTTACTGTAGACCAGAATGACGAGCTCCTGCGCCCGTTTCAACCTGAGGAGGTGCGCCATGCTTTGTTTGCTATGGGGAAAGACAAGTCCCCGGGGCCGGATGGAATGAATCCGGGGTTCTATCAGTCATTCTGGAGTGTAGTAGGTAAGGATGTGACGGACTTTGTGCTTGATTGCCTTTCCTAGTCTTATTTTCCTCCTAATTTAAATGATGCGAATATTGTATTGATTCCTAAGAAGTCTGCTCCTGTGTCTGTCTCTGATCTGAGGCCAATTGCACTTTGTAATGTGCTTTATAAAGTCATGGCTAAAATGGTTGCTAACCGCATGAAGCCGCTGTTGGAGGGGATAATTTCTGAGTCCCAGAGTGCCTTTCTTCCGGGCAGATTAATTTCAGATAATATTATGATAGCCTCGGAGGTCGGTCACTATCTTAGGAGGAAGCAACTGGGTCAGGTTGGCTGGACAGCTCTGAAGCTGGACATGGCCAAGGCGTACGACAGGATGAAATGGCCTTTTGTGGAACAGATGTTGAGGAGGTTGGGGTTTGATGATAGGTGGGTGCAGCTGGTTATGTTGTGTGTCCGTTCTGTGCGGTATAAGGTGCTGATTAATGGTAGGCCTTCCGAGGAGGTTGTCCCCACGAGGGGCCTAAGGCAAGGTGATCCCTTGTCTCCTTACCTTTTTATTATCTGCGCAGAAGGATTATCTTTATTGCTGCAAGATTCTCAGGCTAAGGGGTTGATTCATGGCTGTAGGGTGGCCAGGGGGGCTCCGTCTATCTCACATTTGTTTTTTGCGGATGATAGCCTTCTCTTTTTTTAAGGCGAATCTGCAGGAAGCTATGGAGGTAAAGAGATGCCTTGGAGTATATGAGGCCTTTTCTGGGCAGGCGGTCAATTTTAATAAGTCAAGTATTTGTTACAGCCGCAATACAGTGGATGATGTGAAGGTTCTCGTTGCTGGGGCCTTGGGGGTTGCTCAGGCAGATGACTTTGGTAAGTATCTGGGCCTCCCTTCTGTGATTGGCAGGAATAAGAAGCTAGTTTTTGCTTATATTGAGCAGAAGATGAAACAGAGGTTTGGGGCGTGGAACAAGCGGCTCCTGTCCAGGGCTGGTAAGGAGGTCCTTCTGATGAGTGTGGCACAGGCTATGCCAACGTATACAATGATCATCTTCTTGACCCCCAAAACGCTGTGTGCTTCCCTTGAGAGGTTAATGAATAGATATTGGTGGGGGCGAAGTGACAGGGAGGATAGCATTCATTGGTTAGCTTGGGACAGAATGTGTAGGCCTAAGAAGTTTGGGGGTCTGGGATTTAAGTGGTTGCATGAGTTCAACTTGGCGTTGCTGGCCAAGCAGGGCTGGCGCCTTCTCACAAAGCCAGAAACGCTGATGGCTCGTGTGTTAAAAGCAAGGTACTTTCCATCTTCTACTTTTTATGATGCTGTGTTGGGGGGAAATCCGAGTTATATTTGGAGAAGTATAATGGCAAGTTAGGGGCTTGTTAAAATGGGGTGCAGACGAAGGATAGGCAATGGGCGAGCTACTCAGGTTTGGTCACATCCTTGGTTGCCGGATTCTCTTGACCCTTATGTGTCTACTTTGCAGCCAGCTACCAATCAGGGATGGACTGTGGCTGATTTGGTGGATGATTCAACAGGTGCATGGAACGATAACTTGATCCAGCAGACTTTCAATGCACGGGATGCCGCTTTGATTTATAAGCTGCCTTTGAATGGAATTTATGATGATTTGTGGTTCTGGGAGGGGGACATTACAGGGAATTATTCGGTAAGAAGTGGTTATAGACGGCTAGGGGGTGATTTAGCTCCTAGTTCGCCGGTATGGGGTAGGTTATGGAATTTGAAAATCCCCCCTAAGTGGAAGAACTTCATGTGGAGAGCTCTGTCTAACATCTTACCAACTCTTGATAATTTGGTGAAAAAGAGGGTGGATATTGTTAATGTATGCCCAGCTTGTGGTTTAGTAGAGGAAAATGTCATGCATGTTCTTTGTTCTTGTCCTTTTGCCTCTCTTATTTGGAATTGCTCCCAGTTGCCTTTTCCCCAATATAATGGTGACAATTTTCTGTTTTGGGCAGAATTGTGGTTAGGAGGAGTATCAGCGCTGGATTATGAAAGTAAAGGGAAGATGTGTGGCTTGTTACATGGCATTTGGTCAGCCCGGAATTCGGCTGTTTGGAGTAATTTCCTGCCAACTCCCACGGCATTGTGCAGCAGCCTTTTGTCTTGTTGGGCAGCTTGGAAGGCGCATGGGGCCGGATCAAGGGAATCACAGTGTGCTCCAGTCATGCATGCAAATAACGACCAGCGTGGTGTGGCTTGTTATGTGGATGCGGCGTTCCATGATTCGAATCGGCAGCCTACTTACGGCTTCATGGTTTTGGAGGAGGATGGAAGTTACATAGCTGCGGCGAAGGCGGTAACTGAGGCGCTTTCTTGGTTAAAGAATAATGGTTACTCGGCAGTCAGACTATTCACATATAGCGCGGTTTTGGTTTCTAGTATTAGAGATGCTCGTTCCTTTCGTTCTTATTTTGGTTTTATTTTGGACTCTTGTATTCGTTTAATTTCTGCTATGTCTGGAACTGTAGTCTCGTTTGTTAGACGAAACGCAAATATTGCGGCACATATGCTAGCTAAGCATGCTAGTGCGCCGGTTGGAAGTTCTGTTTGGAGGGATGGTCCTCCGCTTTTTTTTTTTTTTTTTGAGCCGATTATGGCCAATACAATTTGAGTTGACATGGTTTTCAAAAAAAAAAAAAAAAAACACATTGTTGCCGGGAATTTCTAATTAGTCACCTGATATTTTTGCTGACATTTTTTTATTTAATTTTTTTGATGTGGTTCTTTATATATATAATATATATTGGCATTTGAAAAAAAAAGAAAAGAAAAGAAGAATAACGTTGATGGCTATGGTCCTCCACAACCATGGGAAGATGAGGTTCAACATTGTCCTTCATAGTAATGTCCTTTTATTTAATAAAATTTCTGCGATTTTGTTGATAAAGAATCAAAATTGATCATGTCACAATAATACTAATATCAGAAAATGATATTAAAATAAAAAGAAATTAAAAGTGAAGTGTTACCTATAAATTTAGGACAAAAAATGAAATTAAGTCTATTGTTGGGATTCTTGCTTCGTACGGATGTTTCTTTGGCAGTTACACGTTGAAAATTCTTCACCCTTTCGGCTTTCAATTCATTGGTTTACCAATCATCATCGTATGAATCTCTTAGATAGTAAAAAAGCTATATATATCGATCTTTTGTCAGTTTTGTTTTATTGATTTGTCAATGCTCTCACTTTCTCTCACTTCTTTCTTTATACATTTCTCACATGCAGAATCCTTTATCTCTGTCTCTCTGAAAATGACACAGCATAGCTAACCAGGTAAAATTAAACACATCAGAGAAATTCTAAAACATCCATAGAAAATTATAAATCAATAGATCATAATTGGGAAAATGTAGTTTTAATCCATTAGTTATACTTAAATTGTCGACTTAGTCCATAAAATTCTAAAACATCCATAGAAAATTATAAATCAATAGATCATAATTAGAAAAATGGTAGTTTTAGCCCATTAATTATACTTAAATTGGGACGGTAGACAGTAGCACATTGTTGCTGTTCACAATCCCAAATTGCTATTTCAAATAATAGTTCTTTTTTTTTTTTTTTTTGATACCTATCAATATATATCAAGTATAATTTTTTTATATATATTATTAATTTTTTTTATATTTTATGCAACTAGTAATTATATTTTTAAATATTTTATTTGAACAATTCTATTACTATAAATTTTAGTGTTTAATATTGTTATGAATTTCTCATGAAATATTTTTTTTTTGTTTTTTTTTGATGCTTATTAATAATATATAAGTAATTAGCATATAAGTCTCAACATACTATGGACAAAAATAATAATGTTGAGAATGTTGATGTGGGCGAAGAACTATATAATAAGAAGGATTTTATGATATATTATAACATGTTTTGTAAGAAAATTATAAATGATAAGAATCTAAATCATTGAAAGTTTGTAGAGATGTATTCAATTTAGAATTTCAATGACGACTTTTGCTGACTTTCTAAAATTAAAAAAAAATTGATAAAAGTTTATGAATGTTTTTTAATAGACTTTTATAGACTCTTACAAAGTTTTAAAAAGTATTGAACAATTCTATAAAAGTCAATGAAAGTTTATTAAAATATATATATATATATATATATATATATATATATATATATATATATATATATATATCAATTTAAAAGTATACAAAGTTCATGATTGAATACACCTAGGCAATATAATACTAAATCCTAGAGACCAACAAACCTTTTCTGAAGACTTCTTTTGAACTTATCATGGATGCAGATATGGCTTTTATATGTTATTATAATCATTTTCTTTTTACCTTATTTATCAATTATCACAAAGTATATATGTCCAGAAATAAATGACATGCTCCCTTTAAAATGAGATTATGAGAAGACTTGCAAAGGGAGGGAGCTGAGTCGAGTTGCTAATTAATAATACTGCAATTACCGTACTCCCACGCCCCAGTTTTACTTTTTTTTTTTTTTTTTTTTTTTTTTTTTTTTTTTTTTAAATGCTACTAACTCTATTATCCCGTATAATATAGTATCTGTTTATATATATTTTCTCACCTTAGCCCAGTTTTACTTAATTGCATATTATATATGATTTGAATGGCGAAGTGATAGTATGGATACCGGTCGGCCACAATCAAGCAATTAAGTGGAGATGATCAATCTAATTAGTTGCTTGATTGGAAATTAATCATTTCCAGTGTGGGGACAAATTAAAAGTAAAACAAAGCCTTCACCCTTTCGGCCTTCTTACTTTAATTTGACTGTACTAGAGGAAATTTAATATTAGAAACTAACAGTAAAAGATCAGAGGGAAGGCGATCAACAAGCTAAGGATGATGATCAAGGTGGCCGGCAATCGTTATATCGTGCACCAGGACGCACAATGCATTTGTACATTCGGACCCAAAACGACGACGTTTATATAAGTTGGTGGGAAGTTAACGCGAAGGACACCGTTCCGTCCATCTAATTTCGTTATAGTTTTTTATTTTTTTATTTTTTATTATTTTTTTAATAAGGTCCAAATTGGTTACTGAACGTAACCTGAAAGTGCAATTAGGACACTGAACGAAAAAAGAATGCAATTAGGCCACTGAACACTCCAAATATATGCAATTTCATCTGATAGCAGGTTACCATCCATTTTATCAAGTTGCCTGCTTACGTGGATGGTGATTTTACATTTTAAAATAATTTTTAATAATTAACTTTAAAAATAAAAAATAAAAACTAAAAAAATTAAAAAAAAGGTTGACTGAAATGAATAATTTTTAATAATTAACATTAAAAATAAAAAATAAAATAAAATAAAATAAAAAACGCTGGGTGAAATGGATAATTTTTAATAATTAAATTTAAAAATAAAAAATAAAAAATAAAAAAATAAACCGCTGGGGTGAAATGGATAATTTTTAATAATTAAGTTAAAAAAAACGCTGGGGTGAAATAAATAATTTTTAATAATTAACTTTAAAAATAAAAAACACTGTGGTGAAATGGTTAATTTTTAATAATAAACTTTATTATATCTTATTTTTATTATATTTATATTTTATATTTTATTTTAAAAATTTATTATTAAAAATTATTTAAAAGTACCAACTCATCTTCCTTGTAAGCAGGCAATCTGATATGTTGAAATAGATGGTAACCTGCTATCAGGTGAAATTGCATACATTTAGAGTGTTCAATGGCCTAATTGCATTTTTTTTTTTCGTTCAGTGACCTAATTGTACTTTCAGGTTATGTTCAGTGGCCAATTTGGACCTTATTATTATTTTTTAAACACTTGTGTTTATGTGTATTATGTATTATGTTAGATTATGTGTTCCATAAAAAAAATGTTAGATTATGTGTTTTACGTTAGGAGTTTATGTATATTCTACTATACAATTTTTTTACACACGAAACATGAATTTTTTTTTTAAAAGTTAACAGCAAAAACAGAAAACAGATACAAAACAACATCATTTTATGTCAGAATTGTGCGCCCTGGTGCACGATATAATTTGCCCGTGGGCGGGTGTGAATAATGTGTGCTTAAAAAATGTCATTATTAATTATACTCCATAGTAAAATTAAAATTGAGGCTATCTACTAATCTAATATACGCTTATTGGAGGAAGAAAAATAAATTATATAGTTTTGTACATAAATAGTTGCAAAAAGACAAAATTAAAAACAGCAGAGAAATTAAATACCAAAAACGTCATATATGCAATTGAAGATTTGAAGCTGACGTGAGCAAGGCTACTACTAATAGGAAGTAGATACACGTACTTGACTTTAATTTAATTGGCTTACGTTACCTTAATATGGCTCTTATAGATGATTAATCATAACTCTTTCTATAAATACCTAACTACCTACCACCACAAAATTAAACACCTTGACCTCTATACATGACGCACCCAAAAATCCTATTTATTGGGAAAAAAATTAAATAACTGTTATACTTTGGTGGTATCCATGAAATGGAAAGAACAGAAAAATCAAGAATGAATCAACTCCAGAATAAACCCCCATTCTCATTAAGCATTGAATCAAACATATATACATCACAATGATAACAGTTACAATATAATGATATCATAAATGGGGAAGATCATGGGTTTGTGAGAGATAATGGCCATAAAACAATAATATTTATAACACTCCCCCTTGGACATTATTCGTCTACAATCTTGCTTTCATACAAACTTGCTAGGAAAACCCGGTGGGAAAAACCTAGACAAGAAAATAGTATAATAGAAAATATATCCATGCCTCATTAAAAACTTCACTAGGAAAACCACGTGGGGAAAAAAAAAACCTAGTTGAAGAAAAGAGTACATGATATATGTAAAACATATATTGTATTGGTCGCCTCATTAAAAACCTTAACTTAAGAAAACCCTGTGGGAAAAACTTAGTTAAGGGAAAAAGAGTACAACCATAAGCCTTCAGGGCGCAAACTGCATAATCTTCAGGATTTTGGGGTTTGTCCATTTAAGCAATTATTTTGCAACTTTTCCCCATTGTCATTACTATATCATACTCATGCCTCGTTAAAAACCACATTAGAAAATCCAATGGGAGAAAACTAGTGAGGAAAAGAGTACATGATATTTATGTATTTATATGTTGCAAATAGTGCGCAACTGTTAGTCTTTTATGACTTAATCTTCAGGATTTTACGTTCAATCTTTCGGATTGATTCGAGTAAATGTACTTCTCGTCTCCCCCTGAAGATAACAATCTTCAAGTTCTACATGTATTTCAAAATTTGAAGAGATGGATTGGACAAATCTTCTGGATTGTCACTAGAGTAGTGTACAATAATCTTATGGCTCTTCTAGAGCTTATATAACATTTGTGCAACACAAGTGTTATTTTCCTCATTTTGAACATTTAGGGAAATTCATTGTATAACCAGTTTAGACTTGGCATTGCGGGGATCAAACAAAACAGCCAGTACCCAAGTAGCCTATTAAAACCGTATCATGGTTTCTTACATAAATGTCATGTCTTTGTATCTCGAAGATACCGGAGGATATGTTAATCATTATTCAAGTACTTCATCTGTAGGGGGAGCACTAGATTTTGCTAGCAATTTCATCGCAAATATATTGCGATTATGGAACTTCTGGTTCTAAAAATGGTGCTCCAACAATAATGAAGTAAGGGACTTCGAGTCCAAATGGTTCCTTATCTGCTTCAAGAGATTATTAGGCAACCTTTAGTTTGATAAAAACATGACACTTATATGCATATAGACATGTGAAAAAGCATTTTAGATGTAAGCTGACTGGTGTATATATAAAAAAAACTCCAAAGAAAAACTCGATCTTCAAGTCGAGATAATACTTATAGCTTTCACAAGCTTTTTATTTCAAAAGTCTCAGTCTTTAAACATGAACTGACATTATCGAGTTCTTTATATATTTCATTGATGTTTACACCATCAATCTTGACTGAGATAATAAGTTCATTATCAACCCTTTATCGAGCACACAATGGTACATATTATTCCTTCAATGAGGATATTAACTCCATTCGCAACCCTTTAAAGAGTAAATAATGACACATAATAATACTTAAATAAATCCTCATTTCGAGAATTATGAATCCATCAGGGATTTCTCAATATAAATTTAACTGCATATCTAAATTTAGTATTCTGCCAATTGTATTGTGTAGCGGAACTTAATGCCATTTACCGTGGGAGAGTATATTTGATTAAAATCATAAAGGTCTCTGCATGAACCCATGGGCTACAAA